AAGCTATCGATGAACAGCATGATAATCTGTGCACAGTGAACTACTTTCACACCCACTTAGAGCACAGGGCAAAACCAGCCCTTGGGCGTTCCTGGGACACTTAGGCAGAAAAGACTTCCCAGCAGATAGGAGACACGGTTACATGTCACACAAGTACACAAGTGATACTCAGCTAACTTACAGCTGATGACCAGATGGAGTGATGCATCTCTACATGAGATGACTGCCCCATGCTAGTGCAAGGGAGATTTGGGATGGGGCTGGGTAGGGGCACTGTATACTGACTTCAGCCAGGTCTTATTGATTCTGAGGAAGCATGAATGAAGGACAACAGCATATGTGAGTGGTGGGAAATTTGAAATGGCTATCTGGCCTCAGCCACCTGAATTAACAAAGACTGTTAAGAAAACAAGCTGCAAAATTGTTTAAGGTTATCAAAGACTAGACCACATAAAAACCACATGGGTGGTGTGGTGTCTCTGTGGCTCAGGATCTGTGCCTGTGGCTGGAAGGTTGCTGGTTCGTATTCCCCGGCTGGCAGAGGAATCCTACTCCGTCGGGCCCCTGAGCAAGGCCCTTAACCCCAGCTGCTCCAGGGGTGCCGTATGAATGACTGACCCTGCGCTCTGACCCCAAGCTTCTCTCTCTGTCTGTGTGTCTCATGGAGAGCAAGCTGGGGTCTGCGAAAAGACACATTGCTCATACAAGAAATTCTATATGGCCAATAAAGTATGATTTTGTTTTAATGGTGTGATTAAATTATTATTTGATTATCTGAATACTCAGCAACACTTTGACTCTTGTCGTACCATGGTAAGTTATGGGAATGAAGATGAACCCATATTCAAAGGTCCAGTGTGAAATGTTCATTAGTTTGTTTGGGTGTTAGGAGTGGAAAGTGGAAAAAAATGAAGAGACTCTTTTTCAGCTGAGCTCAAAATGCAAATTTTCTCAGGGAAAAGTGAAATGCGCTAGAACTCTATCAAGGTCTAATCGCTGCCTTCTGTCTGCTACAGACAGAGCTTCTGACAGTATCAGGACAGAAGAAAAAACGTCCAAGGCAGATTACATGTCATGAAATGATTTAACCAAACTCAACACCAGGAAGGTTGCTATGGTTTGGATGTTGGTTGCAATGAAGGAATGTATAGGACACACACACAGCTTGACTGAAGACCATCTTGTCTTGTTAGGAACGTTATCTGTGAGAGAATGGAATGGAGGTCATTGGTCATCTTTGCTCACACAAGCACAGCGTTTCGTAAGGGCTAAATTCCACCCTCTCTGCCAAGCTCGATGTTCAGTTAACTATGAATTCAGAAGCAAAAAGCAGTCTAAAAAGCAAAAAGAACAGGTTGGATATCTTGTTTAGTGAAGGAACCCCCTTTCTCATAGCCTGAATCCTGGTTTTCCCTAAATGATGTCTGCCAGGTAAGCCATTTAAATTCCTTCTGCTCAGGGGAAATTGAGATCAGCTGTCTGTCTTGGTTTATGCTGAAATAAGTCTTCTGAAAATGTGACTTTAGTATTGACACAGACCACTTTTTATATTTAGAGAGATTCATGTAAAACGTTGTTTTTTTTACACAAGCAATTAAAAATGTGAGAATGAGGATAGGCAGTGATTTTAAGAACAAAATTCTTCAAAATCGTAACACTGATGCTCTGGGGATTATTCTAAATGTAGAACTGATCAACTAAACTGTTCTTCAAACGAGGCAACATAAAAATATCAAAGAAAATGTAGGCCAGGCAGTCTTTTAAAAATGTTTAGATGTTGTACAAATTGCCTAACTGTCCTACTTCTTAAAGAAACCAAATTAGTACAGAGACGCCTTGCTCGTAATACTCCAGGTAGCTTTCAAATTCAAGGAAAACACTGCAGTAAATGAAGAGGTCGGGGTCGCAGTCGTCAAAGATTTTAATTCTGGTGCGGCTTTGAACGCCGGAGGACAATAATAAATACTTTTTATCCAATCGCGACAGGAGCGGGATCAAACACGTTACGTTTCCTCTAAGGAACGAACTCTATGAGGTCTGTCTTCTGGATACGAATCCATGTACAACAACAGCTGACGCTGCATGGTTGATAACGACACCCTCTATCTTTATTTTTGCGTTTCACGAAACTACAGTACATAGCACATCCGTGTAAGTGAAAAGGATAATAAAGGCTGTGAACTGCAGTTGCCCTCTCCTGCCTCTCTTCGTGCACCGCCGACTCTGCCAGGGAATCTACGGGGGGTCACTACAATATAAACATATATAACTGAGTGATAGAAAATAATACAGTCATAAGAATTATATTATAATTATATAGTAATAAAAACTATACAATACGTATATAAAAATGCACAGTACATTAAATGGACCAAAGTAAGACAAGACTAAGAAAAAAAAGTTATAATTATAAGTTTAAAATATCAAATGCTATAGTTAAAAGATGAACTGTAAGAGAATTTAGAAGTATCCACAGTTGCAAACTCTGGACTGAGCATATGTAAAACTCAACCATGTTTGTCTTTCATTTTTATGTCTGCTGTGGAGGAGATGAGATGGGGAATCGTTTGTACTGTATTTACGTTTCCACATCACCGAATAAATTGAGGAGGTTCATAAAAATGAAAATGTTTATTGCATCTATGAAGCTATAACGTTTGTGGCTATGATGTAGTCGAAAATATATGATGCAAACGAAGATCACATGTGTGATCACCATCGTTACTCGCAATGCAGTATCTTCAGTTAGTTACAGTAATTGAATATTGTGAACCTAAAGTCGAAAGTAATCAAATATTTTTTCTTCCACCTGACCGTTGTAACAATTCATATTTTCTTTTGATTTCTTTATTGTCATAAATTCAGCTAATTTCATTACACCGATTTCCTTTGTCTTAACACGCAATTAAGCAAGTATCGGGTTCGGTTATTCCGTTATCAAAAGTGTCCGACTAATGGGAAGTCTTTATTTTTGCTCAAAGCATTACTTTACAAATGGATACTTCGGTTCTTTCCACGCATTTATAGGTTTTTTTATTCCTTTTAGAGAAGTTCTGTTTATTTTAAAAATGCCCTGTGCTGTCCTCAGTGAAATAACCTATGGTTTTTAATTTCAGCTAAATTCGACGAGTTTCCTCTTTTCTCTTTCACCTTGTTTCTCCATTCTAACAGAAAAGTAAAGTATTTGGGGGGTGAATGTAACTTGAATAAAATAATAATAATGAATAGTAAATATCTGTCGCTCAGATGAAGAGCGAAGCCCGGCCCTATTGCTTTAAAAATACTTTCCCATGATCCCCCAGGAAAAAAAAAAGCATCGCTCTTGAAATTATTTTCCAGAATGTCAATACGGACAAACACTCAATTAAGAAGAAGGGTTTTGTATTCCTATGTCCCGAGACATACGGCGTTGTAACCCTCTTCCCAAAGAAATAACTGTACGCGAGCAATCAGGGGGAAAAAAAACCCCAAAGGGGGCGTGTCTGGCATGGTCCTCATTTGTATAAAGTATGTTTTCCAGCTGCAGCGTTGCTTTAAAAGCTCTCGTCCGCGATCGGAAGAGCACACGTCTGAACTCCAGTCACCCAAGTAGGTCCCCTATGCCGGCTTCTGCTTGAAAGGCAAGAAGGCGGAATAACAAAAAAAAAAAAAAAAAAAAAAAAAAGGTATATTCACACCATGACTTGGTGCGCCTGCTGAGCTTCGGCGGTATATAACGGCGGGCGTGGCCACTCTGACGTGTAGGCATTCTGGAGACCTGTCTACTAGGCTACAAGCTGGGAACCCAGTTTCTCCTCCGTGCGCCTAGGGGAAAGTCCCCGGACCCGTGGCAGAGAGTGCCTTTGCGTGAAGCAGCCTGCGGTCTGCACGTCACCACGCCTCAGCTAAGACGTCCTCGGACCGAGCTGGGTGACGTCAGGCTGCACTCGTCATAGCGGTGTAGTAACGCAGGTGGTGTGTACTTCCAGTGCATCAACAGAACGGGGCTCATTCCCAGAATGCCGGTTCTTTTAAATTTTGGGTTATCTAATTGCACTTGCACACAAATCAAATCAGAGTTTACTTATCAAATGCACAACAATACAGCGTGCAGCGAGCTGACGCAAAAAATAAAGACTGGCATGGTCTTTATCACACCCTGACGAAGCACACAACGCGGTGTTTGGTCTGCCGAAAGGAAAATACGAAATAACCATGCCATGTCTTTACTAAGTTTTTCAATTCGATTATGTTATATTTCCTCTGTTAGAAAAACACAGTGCAATAAAAAAAATAAAAGGATAATTATTTACTTACTATTTTTTATTGTAAGTGAACTTTTAGTTAGAAGGGGCACTCCAGGTTAATACGAGACTATTTTACGTTAATTAATAACATGGACGACACAAACTGGTTGCGCCTAATTACTTGATTATGGTGCTTTGTTAAATTGCTGAATACAATCAAAACGATAGTGTCAATCACCGTAGCAAATAAGAAATTAAGTCATTTTGAAACCCACGAGCAATTACGAGTCGTTTAGACTCCAGCGACAGTAAACTGCGCCTTAAACAAACTTCCATTCGTCAATTCGATATGGATTTTTTTAGCGGTTATTTAAAAGGTGCTTTAATTTAATCTACACTTCCTGTTAAGTCACAAATTCGGGATTCCCCCCACAAAACAATGTACAAACCAAACTAAACGTCTGCTAAACGCTAAAACGTCAGTTTATCCGACACCACCAAGAAAAAGGAAAGGAGAGAGGGAGCACTGTTTACACTATATGTCAATATTTTAGGATATGTTTTTGTTGTTGTTGTTGTTGTTGTTGTTGTTGTTGTAAATGTCTGCCATAGGTCTGTAGATTTTGTTGGATTTTGGGTTTCATGTTCATTTTATTTGCTGTGGCAGCACTGATTGTGTACCCATCGGTCATGCTAATAAAGCACCTTGAATTGCATTGAATGAAATTGAAAGGAGGGGGGTGGGTGGGATAAACACTTCCCTTTTCTTGTGCAGGGGGACGTTGGATACCCCAAAAACTGTGGATACCGCTTTAAGGCGGCCGCCCTCGCGCGCCTCGTCCCGGGAACATGCAAAACCGCGGCGCGCTGCCTTATGGGGCCGCACCGGGGCGCATGCGCAGACGGAGGGGGGGGGGTGTTCTGTTTGAAGTGGAGCTGCAGTTGGTCCAGCGGACCGAGCCGCTCAAGAGGCAACACAGTAGCTACATTATCCTCCTCTTCCTCCTCCCTCCCCCCCCCCTTCCCCACCTACCAAATAACCCTCTCCTGAAGTTGCCCGCTCGCCTTTATTTTTGTTGGTGGTGGTGGTGGTGGTGTTTTTTTTCTTTCTTTCTTTCTTTCTTCCCTCAATCCTCCGCGCTTTCATGCATCGCCACCACGATGCTGGGGCATTACCCGAGCGTGGAGAAGACCCAGCTGGTCAGCTATGTGGAGGAGTATCTCGAGTGTGTGGAGTCGCTGCCTTTGGACCTGCAGAGGAACGTCTCCTTGTTGAGAGAGATCGATACGAAGTACCAGGGTAGGTCACGTTTTCGGCACTTTTTCTTTTTTTGGGGGGGCGAGCGAGCTCCCCCCTCGGCGTGCGATCTGCCCCGAAAGGGCGACCCTGATTTCCCCCTCCTGCCCCGTCTCCTCTCGATGCGGCTGCAGGACGACACGGGCTGATCTTTGTTGTGTGCTTTTCTACGCGCGTGTGTGTGTGTGTGCGTGTGTGTATTTCGCTCACTCCCGACGCGTCGCGGGTGTGTGACCTCGTTGGGCTGCCGGGGACGGATCGCAATGGACCCTGCGCGGTTGTCTCCTCTCTCTCCCCGATGCCCAGTACCGACCACCAGCACCAGCCCGAGGGGCGACCGCGGACGTGCGCTCCCCCAAGTCGAGACTGACTTCGGGGAATCAGCCATTTTGGCAGCGGATGGGGTGAGAAAACTCGCCCGGCCGGCCGGCCGGCGCTGTGCACCGCACTTTTAAAGAGGGGGTCCGTCGTGGCGGTGTGTTGGCCAGGGACTGCACCCCCGGTGTGCAGCGGTTCTGCTCGGCGTCAGTATCGGGGGCTGCCGTGGCCGTGTTTGGCTCGACGGCCACAGTCCAGCCTCCCCAGTTGAAGGGAGAGCGCTTTTCTCCCCTTCCCTAGACCGAGTATCTGCAAATGTCATGCCTCTTAAATATCCTTGACACCATTGCCGAGGTACGGTTTGCAAGAGACGCCGGGTCCGGGGGTACACGCAGCTCTGTATGTGGTGTGTCAGTCTCCGGGGTTGGCACCTCACAGTAGTGAACAGTTTTCTTCTGTTTAAGAAAAGTTTTTTTTTATTTGGCCCACAATTTTATTGCAAAACGCTCTCGATCCGTGGAAGACGGGGAAACGCCAAGACGTGTTGAACCGCGCGTTTTCGTCCTTTTGTGCTGTTTTTTTTTGTGTGTATTAAGACGTCTATGAATACATTTTACTCGCAGATCAGAAGTGTCGTCACTTCCTGGATATCAGCACACGGCTTGAACGCGGAAGTGCTGCTGCAAAGACATGTTTCGCTCTTTATTTTTTAGGTTTCAGTACATTCAGTAGATTTCCAGTTAACCAGAGTTCAGGGTATTACAATGATCTTCATTCACGTATCGGTCAGTATTACATTTTCAAGCTGCTGCTGCTTCCGCCAAAATACCCCACCCATTATCGGAAGAAATGAGCACACTTTATTCGTTACGAGCCCAGGCGCTCATGTCAACTCTGCAGAAATTACTCCAATAGGCAGGTTAAAATAAGCGTATTCACAGCAGTAAATTACTTTAAAAAACAGTTGATGCGAACGAAAAACTGGATGCATCAGTGTTTTCCCATAATTCTCCAGGTTTACCTTTCGATGTATGTGATAAGTTTGTATTTTATCAGCTACACGGAGTCCATGCTGCTGTTACCAAGCCCACGGTAATACCGTTCGTTTCGATACGAAGAAAGTGTATGAGCTCGCAGATCTAACTGTGCATCCATTTTATTGCCATTTCAGTATGTAGCATTAGCAAATCTAGTGTCTGTGCCTTCAGGTCAGATACTAAGTTGGGCGTTTGGGCAAAGAACGTTTAAAATATGTAAGTTGGGGATATTGACTCAATTTGTAGTGTTTTAAAGCACTGCCTTTTCGAGATCTAGTATAAATAAGGATATACCCACACCTGACTTGGGAGAAAGCAACTTAGGGGTGTAACCTGGGAGCACTTAATCTCTGTTCCTGCTTAAGAACAGGAGAAGAGCTGTCAGCAGTTGTAGAAGCATTTTAGGCTTTTTAGAAAGCTCAGGCAAAGAAACAAGTCCTACTTTTATTTTAATGCATCAAAGGTCCTTTAGGAACAAACCCAGTCTTCATATTTAATGTAGTTTTTAACATCCTAGGTGTGTATTGTTACAAATACCAGACTAAAGCGGGCTCTGCCTAACTTACACGGCCGTTGTTGGTTTTGCAGTCCAGTTTTCAAGTGTAGTGGTAGCAGATTTTACATCTGGTTTGACAAGTACCGCTGGTGGTAAATGAAATTTGTAAAAGGTGTCAGAATTTACATCTGGTCTGAGCGTGGTCACGTTTGCCTCATGTAACTGCTGGACGTCATCCAGTTGGGTGCTGCTCTTGAAATTGGGCCCCTCCTGTGTGTAAAGTGCTTTAGGTGGCCTGTATAAAGGCAGTTGTTACTGTAGGACTCGTGGTGTGAAAAGGGGCAGGCTCGGACAAG